TTCTTTACTACCTTCATGAGATTCTTTGTTACCCTGAATTTTACTTTGTCCAATATTAATACTCTAGATCCTTTTTCTGTTTATATTTGCTTCATATAGTTTTGATCATCCATTATGTGTAATCTACCTTTATCTTTTATATTACAAGACATTATTCTTGAAAATGTAATACATTAATTTTGTTTTTAACTTGATGTCGATTCCGCACATAGAGAAATCAGGCTGCTCTACGTGTGCCACTCACGACAGAAGCCCTTTTTTAATTTTGTTTTTAACTTAATACGGAAGTCTTTGCCTCTCTCTTTTTAAAAATGTTTTTGTTGATTTTTAGAAAGAGAGGATAGGAGAGTGATAGAGAGTTAGAAATATCAATGAGAGAGGAACATCATTGATCAGCTGCCTCCTACACACCCAAATCTGGGGATCCAGCCCAAAACCCAGGCATGTGCCCTGACCAGGAATCTAAATGTGACCTCTTGGTTCCTGGGTTGACACTCAACCACTGAGCCACGCAGGCTGGTCTGGAATTCTTTGTCTTTCTAAAAGAAATTTTACCCATTCAAATATGTTATTTGTAAAAAATATTTTTATTGATTTAAGAAAGGAAAGGAAAAGGCAAGAGAGATAGAAACATCAATGAGTGAGATAACCATTGATCAGCTGTCTCCTGCAGAACCCACACTAGGGATCAAGCATGAAACCTGAGCATATGCCCTGACCAGGAATCAAACTTTGACCTCCTGGTTCACAGGTTGATGCTCAATCACTGAGCCATGTGGCCTGGGCTATATAATTATTATTTCTACGCTAGGTATTCTGGTCATCTTATTGCATGTGTTTGTGAAAATACTTTTATCATTGTAGATGCTAATACCTAATTGTTTCTTATTCACTTTTGCAATGGGATTAGGTTTGCTTTTGTTTTTTTTTTTCTATGAAAAGTCAACATCCTATATTTAATATTATTAATTGTTTACTTTAAAAGTTCTTAAAAACATTTTTAACTTATTTATGTCTTTAAAACTAGGATTCCGGTGAATGTACAGATTTTGCATACATGGATCCTCAGCTAAGAATTGCTTCCTTCACACAGAAGTGTGAGGTTTTACCAGGTATGCGATAATACATGCTTGTCCTCTAGTAGTACATGTTCACCCCAGACAACTGTCTAGGTGTTTTTATAGGAACTGTGCTTTAGGTCCCATGATTTAATCAGCAACCTTTACAACTGTACCACATTTCTGCACAGCTGTGCTGTAGTTGATGCCATTAGGACTGCTCTGCAAGTGGTCAGAGGGAATATGGTGACAGAAGGAAAGGTTAATGTTTTTTGGGCAAAGCTGATCTCCAGATGCAATGTCAGCTGGTCTTCCTTGTGTATAAGATGTCACTACATCAGGTGTTATAAATTGGGGAAGCTGTATCTCCTATTTAATTACTCAGAATAAGTTCTTCCAATTAAATACCTTTTTCCTCCTGCATGTTATAATGGGGGAAAAGCGAGATAGTGCAAGTTTATGGTCACACCAGTGTTTCTTATACCAAGAGTTGGCTTTTTTCATACTTGGAAGGAAGATATTTGCATACATTCCACAGTGAGAAGCATCATTGAAGCTCCCTGCTCACCAGAATCAGGACTTAAAATTTTCCCACTAGAGAATCATTCCTTTAAATTAAGTGTTGCTTTTTTACACTTTCTTTCAAAAATGCAAAAACTTAGGAACAGTGCAGCACATTGATATTGAAGGTGTACTAACTAACACCTTCTGATGGAAGGTTTCCCTAAATGCCCTTGACTCTGAGGAGAGGAAAAGCGGGCAGGCAGTAAGGTGAAGGTCACACAGACAACCTCTACCCACTCACTACTGGCCTTTAGGCTGCACATGGCCCCATATAAATGAGTGCTGGCCAATGCGCAGAAGAGGTACCAAGCTAGACAGCTCCTTCAGTACACACACTGACTAAAAGTCTGATTCTTCTTTCAGGGGAGGATTTTGTACCACCACCTACCAGACATTGCCGTGGCTGCCCCAAAGAGATTCCTGTCGACAGCCCAAGGCTGAAGGAGGCTCTGACACATTCCATTACAAAACTTAATGCAGAGAGTAATGCAACTTTCTATTTCAAGATTGACAATGTGCACAGAGCAACATCACAGGTCTGTAAATTGAGCTACAAAGATAGTGATATAGTCTATATGCAAACTGCTTACTAATATTGCCACTGATCTTGGGTGGGGAAATAGTATACCTGGTAAAAGGAATTGAATGTCAAGTCTCAACCTCACTACATGCTTGCTATGTGATCTTGGACAAGTCATTTAGAACATTTTATGTCTGTAAAGGATTGGGGTGAGATTCATATAAGATAATTTATGTCAAGCCTTGGCCGGTAGCTCAGTTAGAGCATTGTCCCGATATGCCAAGGTTGCAGGTTTGATCCTCGGTCAGGGCACATACAAGAAGCAACCAGTGAATTCATAAATAAATGGAACAAACAAAGAGAGATAATATATGTCAATACATTATCTTCTCGAACTTTAAAGTGTTATATAAATTCTAGCAACTGTTATATAATTAATAAAATGTAAGTCAAGAAAAAGCTACTCTTATTCTCTGCCTTTCTTGTTGGAGCATCACTTAGTGCCTTAGGATCAGACACATGTGTCTATCATCACCCAGACTCTCTTCACACTCTCCCCTCCATGTCACTTCCCCCCTGCCTAGGTGTCCTTCCAGCCCACAAACGTACACCTAGGGCTTCATCTTTCCTTCCATGCCCTGTCAATAGATAAGGAGCATCTTAGTGTGGGGTCAGGAGACCCAGTTCTACCAGAGCACCAGCCCTCATGCCCTGTGTAACCCTGGGCTGTCATTTAGACTCACTCAGTCTTGTGGCCCCATCTGTAAAATGAATGGCTGGGTGAGAAGAGCCCCAAATTCTTCCAACTCTAACAGCATCTGAGTAATCTGTTCATGGGCAGATTCTTATTATAAACCAGCCTCCTTAAATGTAAACAAAATAGAAACAACAAAAGTAATCAAAATAGAACCAAACTGTTTCAGCAAACCAACATAATCTGATTGGGGGGTAGCGGGGGGAGGAGCGGTACTACGATTATAACAATTCATACTTTTGGCTCAGTAATTCAATTTCTAGAAATTTAAAATAGAGTCTTTATAGACATGATACTCATTGCAGCTTTAACTATAAAAGAAAATATGGCAAACTGTCAAAATGATCAATAATATAGAAATGATCAAATAATGTCTGGCATATCCTTAAAATAGAGTATCAAGCAGCAATTTTAAAGCATCTTTGTGAGGAGTTCTTGATGTGGGAAATGCCTTGTGCTAAAATACACAGTGGGGAAAAAAGAGGCCATAAAATTGACTATATTGGGTGTGTTATAAAAAGTACAGAAAACAATGCTGAAAGGAAACAAATACCTCCAAATATTCACAGTGGTGGTTTTAGGTGATGGCACAATGGGCTGTTTATTTTCATCTTCTAATTTCCTGTATTAGTTTCACTACTGCAGGGGAAACCTAACCAAATGGTATTAAAATAAGTCAAAGCTGACACTTGGCTCTCTCTCCTACTCAGGCACTTATTCCTGCCCCTGACACCACAACCTTTCTCCCTCATTTCACGGGCAATTGACCCATGTTAGTGGTGTACTCACATGGTACACCAATACATGATATTCCTTATTTAAATTTAAATTCTTTATTGTCTAAAGTATTACATATGTATCCATTCCCACCATTGACCTCTCCCCGCCCGTCCCCACCCCGCAGCATATGCCCTCACCCCACTAGGGTCTGTGTCCATGGGTTATGCTTATAGGCATGTATTCAAGTCCTTTGGTTGCTCTCTTACCCATCCACACCCCCGAATGCTATTCTTGTATATGTCAGCTTTTCTTCTCACTTCATATTTCTGCTTTCTTGTGCATCTCCCTTATTCTTGATGCAGGAATACCCTCTACTCCACCATATATTGCATATCAGATGTTTGCTGTCAAGAAAGAATCACTCATTTTATACATGACTATCTAGTCTCCATAGTGCTTACAGTTCTCTGTAAATTAATGAATTAACCTTCTAGCACGGTGTGTATTTGTTTATGCTAAGAATGCCAGGAGAACAACAGGTAATGCTGCTAATTGAAGGGAACTGACATTCCTTCACTTGCTAAGTCAATTTGAAATATGGTGAGAATCTCAAACTTACTTACAAAAGATGAATCTTTACTGGTTTTTACATTTAATGAGAACAATTTGGCTGTTCTGACATGATTATTCAAGGAAGCCCTACTAGAAGCAGCCAAGTTACTCGAAATCCATTTACCATTTGATTAATTTGCCAAATGACCAACTTTTGCCAAAGATTTAATTTACAGATTTGGCCTTGCCTTGGCTTTCCATATTATTCCTATTTGGATGCATGTCCATTTCAAGCTGGTTTTAGATGCCAAATATTTCTTAAATTCCCCATTTGCACATGTAAATGATGTGATTTCTGTCACAGGCCGTTTATTTTTCCCTGCCTCTGCCGCCACTGTCCCCGCTCTTGTCCATATTCCTCCCTGCCTTTGCTCAGATGAATATACTTCAAGGATCTGTGTGTGTACATTCGGGAAGTTTTCCTTTAACAAAGTACTAGAAATGTCAAGGCATATGTATATGTCTAAGACTTCTGATGCAAATTGCCAAATTGCCAAACTATTTGCAATTATGCCAATTGACATTCATACCACCTGGCTATAGGACCTTGATCATCTTGCTTTGAGTTCTATTCCTACCAACAGTGGCTGAGGCTGCATGCTTCCCAAACATGGCTGACACCAGGTATCACCTCTATTTTTTATCTTTACCAACATATGGAAGATTAAAAATGCTGTTGCATTGTTGTTGTTTTTTTGTCTTTGGTTATTAGTGAAGATGGTCATTTGTTTCTGGCTTAATGACCATTTTAACTTCTTTTCTGAAATACTTGTTCATGTGTTTTGTTCATTTTTTCATGTTGGGCTTTACATACATAAGAATATTAATCTTATGCCATATTTTCCCCAGATTTTACTTTTTTATTTTGCTTGCTGTAATGTTTGAGAATCAGTTGTCCTTTCTGTCTGAAAAATTTAGACATTTTTTCTCCATTTAGGTTTTCTTCCTCTTTTTCACCAAAGAAAGGCCTTCTTCATCCTGAGACCTAATGGATACATATTTATATCTTTTGAGTTTATTTCTTTAATTTTAATTGTTAACACATTTGAAATTTATTTTGCTATGTGGTTATCTCTACTTTAAAAACAAAGGTTGAGCAGGATGGGTTTGAGCAGGGAAGACTTTTGAAAAGAATGACACCTGATAATAACGGCAATATAGATGCTATCGTGAGGCCCTCAAATGGGAGATTTACATCTATTTAATTCCTTCTTCTTGATCTTGAATAGAGTTGAACTATCAGTTGTGGTTTGTTTCACATATTGTCAAGTTTCTTAGGCAACATTAAATTGATCAACATTATTGTTACAGAAAATTGGATTAAGATATATTCTAAACTGAGCAAGAAAACTTATGATCACCAAAATATAGACCCTATAACCCTCTTAGAACCTTCCTCCCCATTTACACCTATACCTGGAGTCTTAAAAGTTAAGCATCAAATTTTTCTTAAAGATGTAACCATGTTTACCCAGCAGATCAATGCCAGAAAAAGTAGAGAGGAGCTTAGCTCTTCCTATGACTCTATTCTCCTGCTCTCTTCCTCCCATCACACGTTTTCCATGCTTTTAAAAAACACAGAGATAGGGAAGACTGTTGTGGTTTGCTTTTTCAAACAAGATTCTACTATCACCCTGTGACTTCATTTATTTTATTTCTTAATACACTTTTATTGATTTTAGAGAGAGAAGAAGGGAGGAGACAGAACCATCAATCTGCTGTCTCCTTCATACCCTCCCACCTCACCTGGGATTAAACCGGCAACTTGGGCGTGTGCCCTGACTGAGAATCACACTCAGGACCCTTTGGTGCCTGGGATGACACTCAACGAACTGAGCCACACCAACCAGGGCTGGAACTTCATTTTTAAAAATAATAGCCATGCCCGAACCAGTTTGGCTCAGTGGATAGAGCGTTGGCCTGTGGACTGAAGGGTCCCAGGTTCGATTCCGGTCAAGTGCATGTACCTTGGTTGCGGGCACATCCCCAGTGTAGGGGCGTGTGCAGGATGCAGCTGATCGATGTTTCTCTCTCATCGATGATTCTAACTCTCTATCCCTCTCACCTTCCTCTCTGTAAAAAAAAAACACCAATAAAATATATTTAAAAAAAATAATAGTCATCTCTCCAGGTCAATTGATATATTCATGTATTCTTTACACACACACACACACACACACACACACACACACATTTAGATCCTAGAATTAAGTACTGAATAACTTGGACTAGAAATTCACCATATCAACTAACTTTTTAACGTACAATTTAAAGTCATTTTTACCAAGTATATTTTTTTAAGTGTAACAGATGTAAGATATGGCATTTTTAAAATGACCTTTAAAAAGCTATATGTGCAATTTTATTGAAGTAAGTGCATTTTAAAAAGCATGAGTTTTTATTAAATAAATAAAGTGTGCCTCTTTTATATAAAAACTAGAGGCCTAGTGCTCGAAAATCGTGCACGGTGGGGGGAGGAGGGTGTACCTCAGCCCAGCCTGCACCCTCTCCAATCTGGGACCCCTTTGGGGATGTCCGACTGCCTATCACAATCCTGGACTGCTGGCTCCTACCCACTCTCCTGTCTGCCTGCCTGATTGTGCTTAACCCCTCTGCCTGCCTACCTGATCACCCCTAGCCACCTCTGCCTGCCTGATCGCCCCTAACCACCTCTGCCACACCCTGCACCTGGGACCCAGGATTCCCTCCTCTGGCCGGTAGCAGGCACCTGGGACCCAGACTTCCCTTCCTCTGGCCAGCCGCAGGCACCCAGGACCTGGATTGGCTTCACATGGGCTGGCCGCAGCCACAGGGGACCATTGGTGGGTGGCTTCTCCTGGGCCGCAGCCGCAGGTGCCTGGGACTGTAGGGCGGGAGGCTTGTCCCTCTCCCAGGCCGCAGGCACAGGAGCAGTTGCTGACACCTGGGACCATGGGGCAGGCAGCTTGTCCCTCTTCTGGGCCACAGCCTGGCTAGTCCCCATTCTTCTCTCGGACCTCACTTGTGCCTGGCAGAACCCCATTCCTCTCTCACGAGCTCATTGGTGCCTGGATGGTCACCATTCCTCTCTCCTCAGTGTTGAGTGTCTGAGCAGCTCTGGTGTGAGGGTGTGAGGGCGTGATGACAATTTGCATATTAGCTCTTTATTATACAGTATAAATAAATAAATTGGGCCACAGAATACGCATTGTGGACACAGCATTGTATAAAGATTAAAACTGTTGCTAGAGTACTGGTTGGTGTGTCTCAGTTGGTTGAACATCGTTCTGAGCACCAAAAGGTTGTGCATTCAATTTCCAGTAAGGGCACATGCCCAGATTGTGGGCTTGATCCCGAGAAAGGGGCTTGCAGGAGGCAGCTGATCAGTGTTTCTCTCTCTCCTTCTTCCCCTCCCTCTAAAAAACCATTTTAAAAAACTATTGATAGAGATTAAAGTGGTTTCTTAATATATGACAATTAAGAGAGGCAAACTACAAAATCCAAAGAATTTTCCTAATCACATAATTTAACCCACAATTTCTGTAGTGACCCTAACTCAGTATTTCTCTGATTCAAGACTTGGCATGTCAATAAGGCATACTTAAAGAAAATGTTTAAATTTTTCTTCCTACTCTTCTTAGATTCTATTACTTGAGCGCTTGAATGTTGTTGAATAATAAAACTCAGAAAGTATAAAAAAAAAATTGTAGCCTTGTTTCCTTTTACACAAAAGGAAACAAGACCAACCAACAGCCAAATATTTTGCACATGCATACAAACTAAGAGTTTAGTTGTCAAATATTTGTACTTTATTTGTATACCTCTCATTTGAGCAGTGTTTAATTAAAATTTTAATATTCTCCCCTAAGATCCCTTAGAGCAAAAACATATCATTTATTATATAATATTAATGAAGGTTCTACTTTGTGCTAATTAATTTTTCAGGTGGTGGCTGGAACAAAATATTTTGTTGAGTTCACGGCCAGGGAAACCACATGTTCCAAGGAAAGTAATAAAGAGTTGACTGAAAGTTGTGAGATCAATAAACTTGGAGTGAGTAGTCATGCAACTCTCTACTTATTCCCTGGATATCTATTTGATATTTTATACATGTTTAAATATTTCATGACTAACACTGTTCTCTATTTTGGCTTTTGTTTTCATGGATAGGAAATTCTAAGCTGCACTGCTGATATTTATGTGGTACCTTGGGAGAGTAAAATTTACCCTACTGTCAAATGTCAATCAGTAGGAAAGGTATGTTTCTAATTAGTCAGCTTGAGTAAATTTTGCTCATTCTGCAAAGTCCTATTTGGGGTTGAAAATGAACCACTATTTAAATGAATTGGGGGACTATCTTTTTAGAATGGAGAGAACTCTCACATTTCTGTGTTGACCTCTCTTTTTTATGTCTAGAAAGGAAAACAACAGTCAGTCCCCTAATCACTTTTCACCCATTGTCAGTGTCCCATCCTTCAGGAGGCTCTCTCTTAATGAAGGGCAGCCCCTGCTGTGGAGAGCAAATTGAGATCCTGAAATGGATAGTAACATGATCAAGTGCTTGCTCTGTCCCAGGCACTGTCCTGAGGGCTTCACACATATTTTTCTCTTGACAACTCTCGGAGGCAGGTGCTTCTGTTATTCCTATTTTAGAGATGAGAAAAGTGAAGCTAGTGGTGCACGGATGCAAGTGTAGGTCAAATCAAAGTCATCCGTGTTCACATGATGCTAACAACTAGGCTCTGGCTTATATGACTTCAAAGACCATGCTCTTTGCACCACTGACACTGCCTCCAGCATCCTGTTCTCACCAGTAGTGAAATGTAGGTAGAAATCATACAGATTTTGAATGTGAGTTGCCTCTTGTCTTTTTTTTCTGATTTAGACTTTTGCCTTGTATAGGTATATATGTAGTTTAACACAGACATTATATAAAGGCTGCTTTTCAAGCTTGTAAACATGTCCCAATGTGTTTCAGCCCAACAAAATAATTGAGGGCATATGCTGCATATATATTCAGTCCATAAAGCCATTTAGGGTCTTTGGTATAAAAACTGTAATTGTGCTAATAGAACCAGTATCAATTAATAAATAATGTGCCGTGGTATTATGTAGTACAACCTCCCAATTTTTCCAGATGAAGAAAAACCTCTCCAGTTTAGAGGAGAATTTTTAAGAAATATCCACAAATTATAAAATCAATTAAAGAGGAAAAGATATTCGTTCTCATCTTTTTTGCAATATTAACATAGCATTTAAAACCTGGCTAAAGACTTGCTCCATTGTAAACCAAGATAGCATTGCCAGGTCTCAGTCCCTTCTTTCTTCATTGAGAGTGTGGTTTCCACAGTAATCCATTCATCTTAATATTTCCTGTTTAGACCTCATTGCTGAAAAGACCTCCAGGTTTTTCACCTTTCCGATCAGTACAAGTGGCGGAAACAAAAGAAGGAACAACTGTAAGTCCACCCCACACTTCCATGGCACCTGTACAAGATGAAGAGCAGGATTCAGACAATGAACAAAGACCCGCTCATGATCATGGCTGGGGCCATGAAAAGCAAATAAAACATGGGCATAGCCATGGCCATAAACATGAGCATGACCAAAGCGATGGGCACCAAAAGGGACATGGTCATGGCCATGGACATCAAAGGGAACATGGCCTCGCCCATAGACCTAAACATGAGCATGGTCATGGCCATGAAAAACATAAAAATAAAGGAAAACAGAATGGAAAGCACAATGATTGGAGGACAAGTTCTTCTGAAGATAGTACTACATCTGCACAGACACCAGAGAAGACAGAAAGGCCAAAATCCCTCCCCTCCCTAGCCCCGTCAGGTGTAGCAGTTGCCTTTCCTGAATTTCGGGACTTAGATCTCATTGCAGCTATGATGACTAATATACCACCAACTCCCACAGAGAATGATGATTCTTGGATCCCTGAAATCCAGATAGAGCCCAATAGCCTTTCATTTAACCTGATACCTGATTTCCCAGAAACAATTTCCCCTAAGTGCCCTGGACGGCCCTGGAAGCCAGTTAATGGAATGAATCCAACTGTGGAAACAAAAGAATTTCATGATTTTGATCTCTCTGATGCTTTTTATTAATGTATGCAGCCATGGGTGTTTCTTTAACACTTCATCATCCCCTTTCACCATTGTCCAAATACCCTGATATAATGCACCAAAAGCCATGAAGCTTCAAACAGCCTAGAGAGAAGTGGTGAGACTCCCAATGGGGACACATTCAATTTCTATGGACAACACAAAACTGTGTGCAGGATTCTACATTCTTTCTGAGTCTTCCTCATGAGTTTTCTTAACTAGCACAGAAAATGGACAAACAAATGTGCCTATGGCCTACTGCAACTTGCTTTTCTAATAACAAATATGTACCTTAGAATGGATGTCATCGACTGTCATACAAAGATTCTTGCCATTCTGAATAAACTGTGGCATCTGTTCCCTGAAACCATGTGAAAATAAGGAAAGTCAAGAGACTGTATGTTGAACTTCTTAATAGGGCAAAAATAATAATAAAAGTTACCAGAGGTCAAAGAGGGACAACAAGAAAGACAGACTGGCCAAAGTGGGGACAGAAGGAAGTAAACTAATTGATTTTCTGAGGAAATGCCTCTCCAGCCACACTTTATCATTGATTCATCTTTTTGCTACGACATTGAAGAGCTCTGATTTTTACAAAAAAAAGAACAATATGATGGTTTTCAATTGCTTCTAATGTGAGGGAAGCATGCATTTCATAATCCTTGCTGTGTTCTGGCTAGTGAAACAGGATAGGGCTTTAAACAGCTATAGTCCCTTGTGCATGTGCCACTGCTACTTCAAGTTATTGGATGCATTTAAGCCTCTGAGTTTTTATTCCATTTCAAATATTATCTGTACTTTTTAATAAAGAACCAATGATGTCAGGAACAAGTCTCCTCTTGTCACCTGGTTGCTTCACTCTTCTCTTGTTGAACGATAACACCATATTAACAGCATTTTACTATAATTACAGAAGCAACTAAGGCCCTGCATGTACAAGGGCCGACCTCAGGAGGCAGGGGCAGAGCCAACATCTGAGAGTGAGGTCTCTTGACCAGTGGGCAGAGTCTCCATGCCTGGGACAATAGCCCCAGCAACCTGTCAGCAGCCCTGAATGGAAGGACAAGAAGATGGGATAGTGTCAATAGAGAAGAATGCCATTTTATCATTCTGTTTCTGGGTGAAATAAAGTTTGATCTTAATGTTCTCACTCCTGGTTCATTCACAGTAGTCTGCTTTCAGCCACACCCATCCTGCAGCAAAGTCCAGTTGATCAGAGAGCACGTTCTACCATGGAGTCTCATAGTGCAACTCTGGAACAGGCGGGGATCCCTTAAGTGGGCCTTCCCTACCACCAGGACCTCATCATGGCTCTAAATCAAGGGTTTGTGGGTGATGTTTCCATCAGCAATCTAAGGAATCTCTCTACCTTCCCTTCTTCTTCTCTCTCCTGTTTTTTCCTCTCTCCTAATTGCCAGCCCAACATTAAGAGTGATTTGTCTTGTTTTGTTATTTTTTTTTTTAGGATCAAGATAATTACCAAAAAAGAAAACAAAAAAAAAATTCTTTGTTAATAGGATGCCAATCAACTTTTCACTAGCAAAAAATATAAACCTCAAAGAAGTTTAAAAAAATTAAAATTATCTTTCTCATTCAAATAATGGTAAAAAGTAGAAATCTAATAGAATCAAAAGTGATAAGGGATTTTTAATTTTCTGAAATAGGTATTTACTGAGTGCCTGTTGGAGCCATTTACCATGCTAAACAGTTTCTGTTTGGTGTGTGACTTAGTCCTCACAACAACTCTGAGGTCCCCAGGACCACCTTGCATTTACAATGAAGAAATTAGCTCCCAGTGCCCTGCTCAGGGTCACACAATTACTACATGACAGAGCTGGCATTCATACTCAGATCTTCTGAACTTCATTACACCAAGTTACCATGAGGTATTATTATCAATGTCGGCATTACAAAAACACATTTCTGAATCTGAGATGATCATTATCTCAATACAGAAACCCTTATTGAATATCTTATTGTGTCTGATGCTGTTCTGAATACTGCTCAGGGTAAACTATGACAGAGTCAAGCACTGGCATTGGCTATTAGGCAGCCTGCATCCAAAAGCTGGAAATTTACTTAAATTATCAACATCACTGTGTCCTCATCTGAAATATTAGGTTAATAATATGCTCACATCATAGATGTATGGTGAGACTTAAAAGAGGTAATTCCTTAACTGCCATAATGCTTAGCACATGGCAACCATTCAGTAAAGGATAGCTATTGTTGCATTACTGGAACATAACTATGTTACTTTTTCAAAGACTTATAAATGAATTATTTACTGAATATGAGAAGTGAAGGACAGGAATAAGTCAAAGATGACCAATGTTTTCCAGTCTCGGTGCCTAATGGAATAGTAATGCCATTAACACAAACAAGGAGACTGAAAGCGGATCTGTGCTTCCTAGTAACTCTAACAACCAGACTGGCCCCAAATGCACATAATTTAAGATATTTCAACAACTGAATAAGCATATGAAATCATTATGCAAATGCATATAAAAACACTACTAGGACCCACCTCAAATTATTTCATTTACTGCAATATCTGTGGCACCTGCCATATTAACAGGGAAGTAACATTAAATAATGTACCAGCTTTTTTACCTAAGTAATATTTACCAACTGGGAGCTTTGGTCAACTTAACTAAACAGGAATTGTGTCCAAGAAGCCCCTTTTCTGTATGGTTCTGGGTTAGATTTGTTCAAAGGAGACATTTGTGTGTGAACAAGAAGATGGAATGAAGCAGAGTGAGGTCTCTTGGAAAGTCACAGAGTGAGATGCAGTGAGTGAGGACACAGAGTCAAGAGCTCAGGCCTGGCCTCATCCTTCCTTCTTTGGAGAGTAGCTCTCTCCCCCACCGCTGGCCATGTTGACCTACAGCCACAGGAGGCGCTCTAGGGCAACAGCCTTCTGTGGGTTTCTTCACTAACTCCCCTCACAGTTCCTCTGGAGCTGGATGTGCTTGTCCAGATTTCCTTAAAATCTCTGTCTTGTCCTACAGCACCAATGCCTGGGGAAGGCTGATTAGTAACTTTGATCCTCCTACTTCTTTACCCTGGATCTTACTTCCCTAGCTCCTCCCAGAACGGTGTAAGGTCTAATTCCTAAGATAAATCCTTATACCCTAAGACTCAGTGTTGTTCTGCTTCCCTGATTAAACCTTGACTGACACACCAGACTCCCCGCCCCCATCATTTTACATCAGGAAACACAGTCCATTGTTTTCAAATACAGAACCAGGTCCAGCAATGCAACTGCGTTAGAGTAACTCCTAAGAAAATGAGTAAAGGCTGTTCAGTTGAGTGGAGGACACAGACACATAAAAACATATATAAAGGTTACAACCCGAGGTAGAGGTGTGCTTATGATGCAGTGAGAGCAGAAAGAAAGAATCAAGTCTGGGAGTCAGTAAGCAAGCTGAGAGGGCAAGGACTGGCCAAGGCACAGTGCCTTCACAGAAAATTGAATTGAATTGAAGTAAACTGAATTTGCACATGCACAGTGGTAAGTCCTAGGAATGGGGCACTGAACAAGACAAACACGGCTAGTTCATGCCTTCACTTAGCTAACAATCTAGTGCAGTGGTTCACAGACTTGAGCATGCAGCAAAATCTCCTGCAAGGCCAAAATCTGTTTGGCTCGGTGGATGGAGCATCGGCCTGCGGACTGAAGGGTCCCGGATTTGATTCCAGTCGAGGTCATGTACCTTGGTTGCGGGCACATCCCCAGTGGGAGGCAGCTGATCAATGGTTCTCTCTAATAGATGTTTCTGACTCTCTGTTTCTCTTCCTTCTTCTCTGTAAAAAATCAATAAAATATATTTTTAAAAAATGTCCTGCAAGGCTTGATAAAACCTGGATTCCTGAGGCCACTCTCAGAACTTCTCCTTCCATATGGCTGCGGTGAGGGGCTTGAATTTGAGCTTCTAACAATTTCCCAGCAGATGCTGGTCCTGCCGCTCTAAGGCATATTGTAGAACTGCTGGTGTTACAGTTCTCAATCACTGGGCAACTTTTAAAAAATACCTTGCTGGGAAATCACTCCAGATCTATTAAGTCATGTTTTAAAGGTTCTGCAGTTGATTTTAACGTGCAGGTCAGGGTCAAAACCACTGACGTGACGAATAGTAGCAGATACCATGTACTGCTTACTTGCTGTGTGCCGGACCCCATATGAAGATCGCATACACATTATCACATCAGGATACCCCATCTTACAGGTACGAAAACTGAGGCTCAGAGAAGTGAGATCAGCTGACCAAGATCACATAGCAAGTATCATTAGGAGAGGAAGGATGGAACACAGGTCTCTGACTAGAGTCCACTCATGTAACCACAGATGCCTATGCCACAGGGGCCTGATTTAAAACAGCACAACTGATTTATATATTGAGAATTTTCCTAGGTAGACAAATAGGAAAACACTTTTCAGGCAAAAGTACAGGCACACTTTGTTTCATTGTACTTCACTGGTGTTGCATTTTATGTAAATTGAAGGCAAAACGCTCCACCAGCAAAAAGATTGCAAACCTCGCTCTACACTGAGTGGCCAGATTATTATGATCACCTGACGTTTGTAGGCAAATTAGCTGTAATTTCATGCTGAAGTTGCTAGAGGGCCAGACCATTATAAATAGGGATGCAGGTTGTTTACCATGACAGTAGAAGTGATTTTTTTTCTGAAGGTATGGGTAAAGAACACTATTTAACAGCGTTTGAACGTGGGCTATATTTGAACATGAGTGGCCAGATTATTATGTCCACCCCATCAGTACTTGGTTGGGCCACCTTTTGCCTTCAATATTGTGGTGATTCTTCTTGGTATTGACTCCACGAGATGTTGGTACATGATGCGAGGAATCTGACACCATGCCTGATGAGTAGCACTGTCCAGTTCTGTGAGATTTGATGGTTGTGGAACCAGCTGCCTGATGGCTTGAAGGGTTGTACTTATGCATGTAAGGTGCATGCTTTCATGCTATTTCCGCCAAATTCTCACTCTGCCATCTGCATAATGCAACTGGAAATGTGATTCATTGGACCACATGACTTTTTTCCAGTGCTCAACTGTCCAATCCTTGTGTTCCTGTGTGAATTGGAAATGTTTTATCTTGGTGACTGCAGACAGCAAAGGGTTCGAACAGGCTGTCGGCTTCCATATCCCATACAATGCAGTGAATGGCTAATTTGCCTACAAACCTCAGGTGGTCATAATAATCTGGCCACTCATGTTCAAATATATCCCACGTTCAAAGGCTGTTAAATCATGTTCTTTACCCATACCTTCAGAAAAAAATCACTTCTACTGTCGTGGTAAAAAACCTGCTTCCCTATTTATAATGGTCTGGCCCTCTAGCACTCTCTAGCAACTTCAGCGTGAAATTATAGCTAATTTGCCTACAAATGTCAGGTGGTCATAATAATCTGGCCACTTAGTGTATTGCTGTAATCTGGAACCAAACCTGCAATGTCTCTGTGGTTCACCAAACTG